GACAATAAGGCCCGTCCCTCACGGAGAAGGCCTCCCTATACCTACACCAGCGGCTAATTTGGAAGAGCTCTAAACTTTGGATGAGGAAATTGAGGAAGAAATCCCAGAATCATCCCATTATTCTCCTTTCATTGACCAGACATCCAATGAATCACACCTTATAGAACAAAGTGAACTTAATGATCTTGTACGTGATCGTCTGTCAAAACAGCAGACGGAACTTTTAGCATCAAGACTGCAGGAATGGAAATTGTTAGCAAAGCAGACAAGAATTTCTGTCTTTAGGAAAATAAATGTTACATTATCTTCATTGTACAGAATGCAGGCGTCCCTCTGTGTGTGTATTGATGTAGATGGACTGATGTCAGAGTTGGGAGAAAAAACATGACCCACAGGAATGGCGACTTTTATAGATTCCTCTAAGTTTATTTTGAAAGCAGTATTGTTGCATAATGGGAACCAGAAGCCTCAGTTGCAGTATCGCATTCTGTAGGTTTGAAGGAAACTTATGATAGTATGGAGAAAATACTGACCGCTATTAAATACAAGGAGTATAGATGGCAGATCTGCGGCGTAACAACTGGGGGCAGCAGTGATATCAGCAAAACGACATTTGGGAATTATAAAGTGAACTTTCGAATTCAAAGATATGAATAAGCTCCTTCTGCCTTCAGCTTTATAAATCGCATGTACGTCCCAGTTTGGTTTACTGTATAGAAGCAGAGAAACCCTACCTTCATAAATACCTAGCATCCCTAGAAAAGGTGCAACACTGTGGCGAAGATGAATCAGGAACTACTTAAGTCATCTCGATTATTCAAGTAGACTGACCTCTAGCGAGCATCAGCACAATCTCCATGTAGGGCCGCCAGAAGGAGAAGTTGACGTTTGTCAACGGCCTCCTGGACAACTGCCAGATCCGTGGCGTATGTGTTTGTGTGCGTAATTGTGTGTGTGCGTATGTATTTGTGCGTATTTATGTGTGTGCATGTATATGTGTGTATGTATATATCTATATATGTATGTATGTATTTGTATGTATGTATGTATGTATGTGTATAAACCATTCATCTGACCTTAGCTAGTGTTGGGTAGTGCCGGATTAACTGTTCCAGGTTTACTGCCCTTTCCTTCACATGCATTGGGGCGAGGGCTTCTTCCCACAGTGCGCTCTTGATGATTGCCGCTATAACGCTGCTGTTGAGAAAAAAATATGTCGATTTAGATTAAATATTTAAATTGTATTTTGCATGTGTTCATACCTGCGTGTTGTATATTAAGTTGGGGTTTCTTGCAGATCAGCAATAACGGTGGACACCCAGTATCTCGGCTCTAGTATTGATTAATTCATGTCTGTTTCCTGTCTAATATATGAAGTTAAACATTTTAACCATTACATTACCCTAAATTTTGCAGCCAGACTTGTTAGTTTATTATACCCCACAAATATTTTGTATGGATCTCATACCAGTCAGTTTAACTATCAATATCGAATTTTTTTTCAGAATCTAAAGTATTTCTTTTTTAATAAAAGATAACGTACTTTTTTTTATCCATTATGTCAAATTCTCGTGGTAGATTTAATAATGTAATACACTGTATACTTACGGGCGCTTTTCACGAATGCTTGTAGCGAGAAGGTCGTTCACAGAACCGATTTTAGGATATGATTGGGTTTTGTTGTTACTTTTCCGTTCACACAGTTCGCACATCTTCTTAAGTAAGCAGCAGAATATTTCATCATGTTTTTCTCTGAAGGCAGTCATAAGGGGAATCATGCCTTGGTCATCCTTTTTGAAAAGTTGCCAGTCTTTGCCACTATTAATCATCATTTCACACAATTCAAGATGTCCCTCGGAGGCTGCCCAGTGAAGTGGTGTTTTCTCATTCCCCTCAGTTATAGATAGGTTAGCATTCTTTTTAATTAAGAATTCACAACAACCAGTTGCACCAATTTTAACCGCAATGTGCAGAGGTGTTAATTTATCACAGTCTGCGTGATTGATGTTGGCTCCTCCCTTTACCAATACTTGACAGCAAGCCACCGAATTACTTTCTACAGCTAGATGGATTGGTGTCTTCCCTTGTTTATTTACGGCATTGACTGCAGCCCTTCTTTTTATGAAGCATTTGCAACATTCATCAAGGCCTGCACGAGCTGCAAGGTGCAGAGGTGTGTCACCATCTGGAGTTGCAATTACAATATTCGCTTTTCTCTTGAGGAGCTGCATAACACACTCTTTTGAGCCCTTCTCAACAGCATAATGTATGGGCATTTTACCATCATTATCTTTAACATTAACATCAACTGAACTATGAAACACCGTACACTGAGCACGTCCTCCACAGACTACATCTTTCTCCTTTCCTTCGTCTTCTTCTTCTTCTTCTTCTTCTTCTTCACACAAAACGTTCACTGGTATAAAATATTGATTTGAATCACCATTTAATGGCAAATTGAGGATGACAGCACTACACTCCGTAAATCCTTTTTTGGTTGCATAGTGTAATGGGGTCATGCCATTGACGTTCTGCAAGTTGCAGTCTGCACCTGCTTGTACAAGCAGTAAACATTTGTCTGGATATCCTGCCTTAGCAGCAAGATGCAAGGCGGAATCTCCATTGGGTCTTTTCACATATATATCCGCCTTGTGTTGCAAAAGAAGCTCTAGGATATCTTTTGAGCAACGTTTGTTTGATGCAGTACTGCTAAGTAAGGCGGTGTTGCCATCTTTATCTTCAGAATTGATATTGCAATGACTTATCAGTAGCTCCTCACACGTAGATATAAAGCTACCCTTGACAGCTAAGTGCAATGGCGTTTCCTTCATTTTATTGTTCACATCAATATTAGCTCCGTATTGCAGGAGAATATTGCAAGAATATTTATGACCTTTCTCCGCTGACAGATGCAGTGGTACATTACCCTTCCTATCACAAAAGTTTGCTGCATTTCGATCATGTTTCAAAAACATTTTTAATAGCTCATAATCGCCAATACAGGCAGCTGTGTGTATGGGTGTATAACCAGACTTGACTATAGTGTACTTGAGGGAGGCACCTCGTCGTATCAACTCACGTACCATCTTCCCGTGTTTTACATTATGTTCAACTGCTACATGAAGAACACTCTTACCGTCTCGCCCAACTGCATTAACATTCGCGCCTCTGAAAAATAGATCATATTATTGACCTCTATCTCATACATGCTCTCTAAAGTTAATCTTAATCACTTTGTTTGCAAATTCACTCCCTCAACATCTTTTCCACCACCTAAACGATCTTCATAAATTAAATTAACTTTTCTGTTTATCTTTGACTACTATTTCTTTTCTATCCATCGACTTGATTAAAGCGGTTTTTACGACGAGACCATTTGAGCGCTGCCTCGAGACCCTTGATGCCTGACAAATAATTGGTATTGGATATGAATGACCGAATAGGTGAGTTGGGATGCAATCAGTAGTTCCGTTAATACATACCCATTACCGAGGTTGTTTTCGCAAATCACTTCGCACTCACCGATTACTCATACAGCCATAAATGTAAAATTGAATCCTGTAATCCCATTTATATGATCGAGGTGAATGACTTGGATACCCTTCCTCCTCTCAAGAGTTAGACGCTAGAATAACTACAAATGAGGACGTGATACTTGTGAACCTAATGGTATAGGTTGGCTTATCATGGGAAAATAAATTGTGAGTTTTGCAGCGGACAGCAGCTAGTTTATTGTGCACCCCATTCTCATCCTGTGGGCGATAGAGTGTAAAAAGGATTACAGAGTATAGGTCATAAAGGGGGTTTATCAGACCCCCAGTGGTCAGTATATTGTCGTGTTGAGTTTTAAGAGTATGTCCAGTACATTGTTTGCTTAGTTCAGGACATAACAGTTTAGTTTGCTACTAGATGCAATTTGTGTATGCATCTTTATTATATGGGAAAATGTCGCAACAATGCAAAAAGAGCTGCACGAGTTGTTAAAATGGTCTACAGGCCGGCAAATGCTCTTTAACATTACGAAATTTATGACTGCATGTAGGATACAATAACCCTAACCACAACTATTCTGTTGATAACACTTTCCAGGATGCTGTTGATAAGGACAAATTCTAGACATTGTGATAGATCAGTCAATGAAGGTAGCGTAACAACTGGGGGCATCAGTGATAACAGCAAAACGACATTTGGGAATTATAAAGTGAACTTTCGAATTCAAAGATATGAATAAGCTCCTTCTGCCTTCAGCTTTATAAATCGCATGTACGTCCCAGTTTGGTTTACTGTATAGAAGCGGAGAAACCCTACCTTCATAAATACCTAGCATCCCTAGAAAAGGTGCAACACTGTGGCGAAGATGAATCAGGAACTACTTAAGTCATCTCGATTATTCAAGTAGACTGAGGACCTTAGGATGAGCAACTCTTAAGACGAGACACAGCAGGGCAGATTTCATAGAGACATAAAATCTTGAAAGGAATAGAAACATGAACCTGGCCCATTTACTTTACTGATCCCACAAGCCACCAACACAGTGGGATACAACTCTCAACTCGCCAATTAAGTTATGATGCACGACGAACATAAAGAAATAATTCTTCAAACATAGGGTGGTAGACCTATGGAAGTCTACCAGCTGAAGCTGTGGAATCGAGAACAGTAATGGGCTTCAAAATAGCCCTGGAGGCAAAACTATCAAGAACAATGGACGGGTCCTACAAAGGCCACTGGGCTCTTTTCCATAGGCATGGCCGCCTCTACTGAGTGCCCATTAGGTGAATAAGGAATAAATGTGCGAGGGTGGCGAAATAACAGCAAACACCGCTGGTCGTTTTAACTTTTTTCTTTTTCACTTTAATATGTCAACATTATCAATGTGGTTCAATTATCATTCTACAGTAGATCGGCGGTTGTTAACCTGAAGGTCGAAACGGATTGAATATATATTTGACTCAAAATATATATTCCCAATGAAATAGATTCGCAGTTCACAATAATTAAAAGATGGGCGTGTCAGCGTAGGATAGGGAAAATTTGGCATTCATTACTCTGTCTTAACTTCATTTAGTATTGCCAGAGTTGAAATTCTATTCCAGGGTCCCCCAACGAGGATAATAGGGATTTTTTCGAAGATATAGAAAAAAGTAAAGGAAAGACTAACATAAAAATTAAATGTAAGAACAATGTCGTTGTTTGAACACGTATCAGAGCTGCAGTTCTGCTTGACTGAGCTGGTACAGTGTTACCGTCGTGTCAGGGTCTCCAAATCCAAATTAATTTAAGGCATTTTTGGGAAAAGCTGCATATATAAAGATGTTGAATTGACGGGTTGAGTTGAAAAGGAGGTTGAATTGTCATAGAACCGATAATACTGTATTGAATATGTGAACATCTCAAATTATTGATGACCTTAATTTTTAAAAATTTTCTCCAAATTTGTCAAACCTTCAGAATCTGGGAGGAAAGTTTCTGGGAATGAAATTAAATTCATCTGCCAAAGATAATTTCAAAACCCTACTATTGGAAAAGTCTTCGGGGAAATATTTGCCCGTTTACCCAAAACTTAGTCAGAAAGTGAGTGGCTGTTGCTTTTTTCTTCCACCTACAGTATCTTTGTCAGACTTGTCACTGTGAAGACGATGGAAACATGCTGACAACATAATGGCATGTAGTGTGCTCTTTCTTCGACCTCACCAAGAATACAAAGGCTTCTAGATGAAATGCAATTGAATTTCTAGAAATATTACATTTGCACTGAGTTTGTTTATTTGGATCTAGAAAGGTAATGAAGGCGGTAAAATTGAATTTGAAAAGAAAAATATGTTCTTAGACCCTTTGGGATCAAAAAGGTTAAAAACCACTGCTATAGATCAACACTTAATTTTTAATATTATTTGCAATTGCAGAATATCACGAAATTAATGAAGAGCTCTAGATTCACCCAACGCGCCTCATTCACTCAGCCACTCCACTGCGTTGGTCAAATCCGCTCTTGGCTCTTGGTAGCAAAGTTCACGTGTTGGCGCAGTTTTGTCATTACACGTGACTTTTCAAGGCGTTTGTAGAAAAGTGTGTGGACGTAACAGTGAACTATTTTCATTTATTTGATTAAATGCGCCATTACCATTTTTTCTTTTGGAACTCTTGATATCAGTCTGTTGGACCTAAAAGTTCGGAGGAACCCAGGTAGTGAACCACAACATGATTCATACTATACATAACGTCAGCTGAAGTATTTGAGGAAGCTCATTTCTTCACAGATTATATCTTCTTCACTAGTGTCAACTTCGCTCAGCATTTGTCAGGTGAAAATAGTTTGAAATACGAGCAAAAATATACTGAACCTTCCCTTGTGACCGAGACCTCACACAGTTGTGGGGTAAGAGGGTGAGGTAGACTCTCAAAAGAGCTTCGATCGTGTAACAGTGGTAGCGTATAGTTATCCAGTGAGATTGAGGCGGACTCAGCCAAATGAGGGATGAGTAAGGCTTATTTTACTGTACCTTAACAGTTACACTTTCAGTTTCAGAACAATTAAACATTGTACTAAAGCAATATGTGAACGAAAAAATGTATCGGTACGAAATTGAAAATTGACTTTCGAATTGTCAAATAAAAAGAACGACAACTTGAGACTCGACAAAAATGATTAGAAGACAAATGATTAACACCGTTATCTTTGCTATAACTAAGGGCTTTAATCCTTTCGCTGCGGGAGGTTACCCTAAGCTGAATAAAATCGTCTGGCGGTAGACAGAATAAAGTGGCAATTGTGGGAATTGCAGCGAAAGGGTTAAGTAACATAAGTCTTTGCACAATAATGGCAATAGCATATTAAGAGAAGATAATAGCAAACCTGTCATCACCAAAGATTTCGCGGAGGGGGAGGGGGGGGGTTGTTCTCGTTTCCGAGGCGGATTTTGGGGGGTGATCGTACACACGAAAGCTACTTATACTCAGCAAAACAGCGAACGCAGGGAACCCATACATCAGCTGGCGGTTCAGGTGAATATGAAAAAAAGCAAGAGAGAGAGAGAGAGAGAGAATCGTAGCAGATTTTTAGTGTTTCTCGTCTTACAAAAAAGTCGTATTTAAAGGGGAGTAAGGGAACTCACTTCTCAAGCAGTAGCTGGAAACATCTAATGGACTGCTTTGTGATGGTGAAAAAGAGAGGAGTGCGGTGGTCCGTGGCGTCCTTTGCTTCTATATCAGCATCATGTTGGATCAGCAGCTCCATCACTCTGCAAATTAGATTAAAATGTATAAAGTTGTTGCAAACCAAGATTTATCACAAAATTTCTTAAGATATTGGGTTCCATGAGCTTTCTTAGACTGTCATATGTTTCGTGTAATGAAGGAATATTTAGTTTTTTTCTTTCGATACTAAAATAAGACGTTGGATTCAGTTATTGTTTTATAGTTAGGGTACCTATGCTTAAACATTATTGTCATCTAAATATTATAAACACATTCCTATGGTAAACATGTGTAAAAGGACAACAAAACTCTCTCTCACTCTCAACGTTGCTTACTGAGACTCATCGTTTATAGCTGCAGTATGCATGGCGGGATATTTCTGGCTGCCGCAGTATTTGACAATATCCGGGTGCTGTTGAAGTAACTCCTTTATTTCACTTAGTCGTTCTTCTACTGGTCTTGAATTCTCGCTTAGCTCCTGCAATATGTTCACCAAATCTTGTCTCGGGTGCTTCTGTGGAATCATCATTTGCTGTATTCCCAAATAAGTAACATTATATTGGAAATAACATTTCACATATTTTATATACCAGAAGGAAAACAACAATTAACGAGACAAAATTTATTCCTAAGTACAATGCACCATAAGTTAGAATGTTCTAGAGGCAGCATAAATACATAAGGCTACTTTATCCTTAAACACATTGAGTCAAAATCATCGTACTCAAGGGTTAAATCATCTTACTAGTGGGGTTGTCATTGTATTCAAGGTGTTAAATATACGTAGAATTTACCCCTCAAGAACATTATCCCTTGGTTATCCAAATGAGTGAAAATTGTCAGATATTTCATTTTTTAACTATAATTAGATGATGAGTGGTACCAAGACTAAAGCTGAGATTTTAAGAATTAAAAACAAATAATATATATATATATATATATATATATATATATATATATATATATATATATATATATATATATATATATATATATATATAAAATCACACGGGAAAAGGAAACAACGTGTGATTTTATCAAGATTTATCTTATCCACGTTTTCATTGTGGATTATGATATATATATATATATATATATATATATATATATATATATATATATATATATATATATATATATATATATATATATATCCAACTGTGGACATACTTAAGAAATAACTAAAAAAATTAAGAACATTCTTCAGCTGAGTACAAGTATTGTTGGTACACTTTTAATTCTTACCTGTAAAATACGTCGTGTTAGCCGTGTGCATCCCATCTTTTCCAGCAAATCTTGGAGTTTTTGCCTTCCTCTGCAACAAAACTCAAAACCCAATATATCAACACTTTTTTCTTTATTTGAAAAAGCAAAACAAAATAAAGTTCCTTCAGTAACAAAGTATTCTATGTAACTGATGAATTTTCCTGTAGTCAACTACTCCTGTCGGCAGTTCAACCCACACTAAGATGAACGTGTGACGACAGCATTGAGCTCAAGCCCGAGCAGCAGAGTTGGGTGAGATAAAGCTTCCTGTGTGCGCATTTTGTAAGATAAATTAAAGACTTCTCCAATAGGAGTTTTCCGTCACCTTTTTACTCATATTTAGTAGATAAACCAGCAGTAATGTACATTATTCAGTTACTGTGATGAAAATTAAGTTAAAAATATAACAAAGAGCACAGGAGACGCTTGTGTCTAGTTATTTCAAGCTACAGGCACCGCACATTAGGACGGAGGGCAGCGCAGAGCAAGCGCAGCGTAGTGGTTGAAATAGTTTCAAGACATAAAATCGTCGATTTTGTATATGGCGGAGGAGCGTATAGAGGCTGTTAGGAGTCGAAGGGTACTGTATGACACTAGCCATCCTGACTACATGACAACCAAGCTAAAGGATGACATATGGGATCGTATACCTGAAGGTCTGAAGTTAGAAGGCAGTGAGTGTACAATATTGAGAACTGAAGGAAACATTTAAAATTAATATTAAAGCTAATATTGAACATGAAAATAATTTACTTCATTATTCAGTACATGACTCTACCACGCACCAAGATAGACTGCTGGTCAATGTGCACACCACACTTGTGCTGCACTGCTATGTCTATATAATATCCTGTTTCACCTGTAATTGGTTCAGATAATGCCCTTGAAAAAAAGAAAAACGCGGTTTTTTACAATTTTTGGAGATGAATTGATTTTTTTTTATCCCAAGCTCTGTTCGAATCCTGTCTCCCTGTACATTGTCCTGGGTTCAATCTCTGGCCAGATGGGACACATGTAAGAAGGGTGTGATACAGTGTGATCCCACTAAACATTGCAGGTTTTCTCGGTACTCTGGTTTCCACCTGTACTAACATTGGACAGTAGAGATCATAACAAAGAACCGACCAACGGCTAATAAGCTGATAAGTGGTGAAATAAGAAATTAAAAAATAAATATAAAACAATGCACCTCCATTCTCCCGTCCCTTGCTAAACATGAAGCATTGTTATATGTTTCGGTTTAAAAAAATTTTCTTTTTAATTTGGACATGTAACAAGCAGTTTTCGGTTCCCTTGTGCTCCACAGTACCACAAGTCGCCCGCGGCGATGGCCAGAGTTCTTTCACATTTTATCATTCGCATCCAAACCCGCTTTCATAGACATCTGTAGTATTGAGCCTTCTCCTTAGCACCCATCACCACGAATATCGCGGAATAACGTCCTACACGTGGTCACACCGGCAACTGGTAACATGGCAACTCCGTCTCAGCCTCTCGCGATTACAGTTACGTAACAGCGTGAGGCAATGTTCGGCGATAACCGTGCTGAAGGACACAGAAAACGTGACAGTAAGTTTTAATCGTTAGTGACACAGCTGTAATAAGCTATGATTGGACCATTTCCTGAATCGGAGAATTTACGACGCTTCGCTGTTTGCATGAAGCTGATTAAGAGTTTGTCTAGCATAGTATACAAGAGGTAATCATAATCTGTAATTATGGCAATTACAATACATTACACTTTTCAATCATCATAATCGACTATTTGTTTGTTTTGCATTGGAATTGCAATCATGATTATCTTCATGAATTTAATATGTTCCATTTTTATTTGAGGATCCCCGTTCCACCTTCTTTCACTAAAAGATTAACCACCTTTTTGGTAACATACAGTACTCAAGGACAAGGCTGACAAGGAAGGTACGAAAACTTTAATTGCTGGGGATTCTCAGGTTAGTTACCTAGATCGAGCTTTCTGTGCTAAAGACAGAAATAAGAGGAGTGTGTGTTTGCCAGGAGCTGGGTAAGTGATATAATAAACAAGATGGGCAATGTCATATCTGGTAATGGGAACAAACCCATTATCTGCCTCAGTGCAGGAGGCAATGATATTGGCCGGTGTGGGAGTGGGGAGCTCCTTGATAAGTTCAAGGATGGATTAGGAAGAAGGGAGGGAGAGAGGGATCATCATCATATGTGGTGTCCTGCCTAGAAGGAGAGTTGTCAAGGGCAGTTGGTGTCAACGGCCATCTTGACAGATATTGCAAGTCAATATCAGTTCCATTCATTGACGACTAGGACAACTTCTAAGGCAGAAGGGACCTTTATGCTAGGGATGGGGTGGCACCCCTGGATGGCTCTCTCGAGAGGGCAGTTCAAAAGATGTCGAAGTCTTTAAACTACTAGGGGAACATGTGACCATGGGGGTCGAGGAGACTACAGTGGGCACAGGTAAGCATAACGAAAGGTTACAAAAAATTTGTTCTGGGAATGATGGAAAAGCTAAATTAAGCAGAGAGTTAAATGCGACAGTGAGAGGACTCAGATCACGATTAACTAAAATGTTTACTATACAAACGGTAGAAGTATGAGAAATAAAATGGATGATGTCAGGGCGTTGGTATGTACTGGAGAAATCGATGTAATAGGATTCATTGAAACATGGATCAATTTATACTCAGGTGAGTTACCTGTCGAATATCAAATTAAAGGTAGTAATCTATGTTAGGGATAATTTGAAGTGTGAAATCTATGAGGAAATAAAAACTGAACTGAATACAGAGATAATTTGAATAGAATTAACGGATGGTAAGAAAAAATTAAGCATCGGAGTTATATATAGACCTCCTTATCTCGATACGGTTAATGAGCAACTTATTTGGGATGAATACACAAGGCATCCAGACATAGCAAAGTCTGTATAGTAGATGACTTTAACTTTAGTCAAATAGATTGGACCGAACTTACGGGTAACTCAGTATCAGAGGATTTTCTTGAAACAGTTTAGGACTGTTTCCTAGTCGACATATAGCCGAACCCACCCGGGGAAATAATATTTTAGGTTTAGTTCTGTCAAATAGAGAAAATCTCATTAGTAATGTCGATGTAGGGAGCAAATTAGCGAACAGCGATCACAAAGAAGTGATTCAAAGTAGATCTTAATGTCAATTGCAAGGAAAATTCCAATAAAGTCCCAGATTTCAGAAGTGCAAACATTGTTAGGTGGAAAAGGCAGCTGAGAGAAAGGGTGTTACGATTGTGGATGAATTACTTGGCCTCACTTGAGGTGGTAAATAACGTGACCTTAATTCTAATGTACAATGAAAGACAAAAGTCGTGTCGTGAAATTTGGTGAAAACATATGCCGAAGGGCGAAACTTTTGGTGCGCTCTGCCTTGTGGTCGGGGGCTCCCATAATATTTCACGAGTTATATTTAATCTTCGGACAAAACCGCGACACGACTTTTGTCTTTGATTGTACCTACAGAGGGTGACCTCACTTTACTAGGTGACCTGACAACGATAACCTCACAAAATATGACTGTAGAGGGTGACCTAATCACGAGTTAAGAGGTTGACGAGTTCCATAACAACTTAAATAATGAGTTAATTAATGCACAAAGGCAGAACATACCATACAGACAACTCAGATCAAATAACAATGACACCAAATGGATAAATAATAATTTGAAGAATTTTATTGGACAAAGGAAGGCTATAGGTAGGAGAATCAATCATGGTGACATTTACCCCCGACAGTAGTAACTGTCAAGACCAAGATATGAAAAACAAAAAGGAATAATGATCTGAAGGTAGCAAGGAAGGGGAAGTCAAACCCAAATGTATCGAATTAAAACACGAAACAAGATTGGATCAATACGTTCAGATACCAGTTAACCAACTGATAACTATGGAGAAATGAGCAATAATCTGAACAGATATTTTTCACCAGTCTTCACAACCGGAAATTTAAACATGATACCCGAGGCACCAACAATATACGAAGATGTGAAGAAATGTAAAGAAGAACTTATGCCCCTAGCAAACTTGTTTAACATGTCATTAAAAACCAGTGAAGTACCAGAATCCTTGAGGATAGCGAATGCGATACCAATTTTCAAGAAGGAAGATAGATCACTATTCTCTAACTACTGTCCAATTAGTTTAAGATCAGTTGTAGGCAAATTACCGCAAACAATAATCTCAAAACTCAACTCGAAATCACCTCAGGAAAAACAAATTGATCAATGATTCCCAGCATGGCTTCACAAGTGGACGTTCATGTCTGACAAATCTATTATCATTCTTTTCAACTGTTTTTGAATAAGTGAATGACGGACACAATTATGATTTGGTATACCAGCCCAGCCGGTGAGTGGAGAGAGCCTGGCTGGTGAGAAAGTGTGGTTCAAGTGTGGCACACTTGGTCTCGACTCAGGATATATGTATATGGAGGCAAGTGGGTTTAGGTTAATTTAAACTGTGATTATTTGTATTTCATTTGTTCCTTTACTTGTCTTTGTAAATACATTCCCTAATTTTATTACGTTAAGAAATTATGCAGTGTATGATTCCTCCTCAATATGAGTTAATGAGGCTTATTAAGAACCTGGTGAATATAACATCAGAGCCATTATAGTGTTTACCCTGCTTGTTGCTGTGACCACTAGTGGCAGGGGTTTGTTTCTTGATGCTTTCACGATCAAGCCTCACCTCTTATTTGACTCGTGGCAAATTCTTGATAAAGGGGAGTGATGGTATAACAGCAGGAATACTTTGACAATATTTTGCTCCCATACAGATAAAGAAACAGGAACCCCGTCATACTAAACACATCGGAAATTGAAAAAAATTGGAGATAAGAGGTGGCGGACTATGTTAGTAAAGCTAATAGTGTGTAAGGTGTTGTGGGTGGTTTTCTTTGAGCTAGATTCTGGTTGGCTGGTCGCTTTGCCGGCACAGGCACTAGACAGCCTACCCTATCCCATATATGGGTTTTGTAAGGGTTAGATTTCATATTCCGCCGACCCTACTGGCGGATGCTGGTCTAGGGAGGGTTATCTTTTGCCACGATCTCACAAGGAAACCCTTCCTACCCTTCGCAGTCCCCTCTGCTGCCGGGCAGGGTGGTAGTGGTGCTTCTACTGCTGACAATCCTAAAACAACCCTACTTCCGCCAGGCAAGCTGTGTTAAACCCATTTTTACTCTTACAACTCCCTTCTATACACCCTATACCCTTCCATTGAACCTTCTTCACCCCTGTCACTTGCTTTTTTACTGCTACTACTACTACTACACTCCCGATACTAGACTCCGGGCTGAGACCACAGGCAACCCCGGCACGATATTCACCCCCTCTCCATGCCCACCCCAGACACACCCTCATCTTCATCATCTCGTTAAATCTCCACCCGCCTTTCCTACAACACTAACTCTGCAACAATAGACGCACTAATCAACTAGACTCCCTCACAGCACACAGCACTGAATTTGTTGAGGTTCCACTCATTTTTTTAAGACGAGAACGCAGACACTGCAGCCCTAGGTCCCACCCTTGGGTCAACACAGTTACGACGGCGGTTGGAGCCCTCACCTGTTTTTCTTAAGGGGGGATACAGACCTGAGTTACACTCACAGATCACATGGCGGAGAACCCAAAGCAGCGAGACAAGAGTCAGAGAGATCTTTGGTTAATTTGGGTCCAAGGCCCTAGGGAACTCACACTTGACAGGATCCCAACAGGCGGCCCCGACCCCCCCCTCCCGTCCCAAAGCCCACCCACTCCACAACACCAACTCCACATCTACCTCTCACTAAAAACTTAATTCGCCACTTTTCCCCTCAACCAATTCCAACTACACTGTATACACTTTTCCTTCCAAGCTGCTCAACTACTCTGACCTTTACAATCAGAGATTCAACACACCGTCCACCCTTACCACTTCATTCCAAACAATAATGCCACAAAACAGTATCTGTTGATGGGTTAAAATATCGAGCTTAGATTATTGGCACCCAATGTAATATCTCGGTAAGTCTTGGTAAGTTATCATGACCCAAGCTTGTAACAATTTTTCAGTGCCTGATCTTCAAATTTTTAAGTCGAGTGTTACTGGAGGATTCTAGTGGTGACCGGACGGATGGACGTTTTCCTGTAAAGATCAGATTATTTCCAAGGTTAAATTTGTCACTATCATTCTGTAGCTCAGACTTGTCAGGGTTGCGACACATTACAATATAATAAGACGTGATTCAGTGATGCCTTGTAAAGCGGTATGACTGGCGTGTGATATTTGGTTACATTTTATCCTGTTTGTTGGGCTTAAAGATTTTTTCAGTTATATGTGAATCTGCCATGCTTACATTATGAAATCACACAAGTCACCAATATTAATGAAACAAACGGAGTTCATATCAATACAGTATGAGAAACTTAAAATAGTATTTCAATCCATTTTTTATGTGGAACTTACTAGGTAATTTGTATACACCAATCACAATTTGCCCATTTTGGACTTTTATTCAAAATACTTTACCTGATTTTCTTCGCCACTTACCAACTTAATATCCGGTCGCGCAATAGTGCAATTCCCTTATGCACTACTGGCTAGTACCAGGCATGTGCGGATTCATGTATGTAATTGTACGACTGTACATGTGCCAGTGTTGGTTAAGTCTGAACCTCAAGGAGTTAGAGGAGTTGGTGCTGTCACAAAATTTTATGGTAGGTTTATTCAAAGAGTTCACGACTCTTACTCCAAATAAGTTAATGCTTAAAAACTGTCTGTAGCTCAAAATCTAAAAAATAAAAATAATATTTTGAAAACAGCTTATATGATAAGATAAATCATATATAGTCACTAAAAATAACTGAAATCAGCATTCAAGCTAATGCACTACAGTCTAAGATCTCGAAATTGAGCGTGGAAACCATTTATATGTTTCTAATCAGCATGCCAAAATAAAGCTAAAAAGCTGACGTTTTTCCCACTTTTACCCCAAAGTGCTTCTAGCAGTTCTTGGAAGGCTTTTCTCAGAAATCTTTTCCTCTTGCCAGCAATATTCATATACAGTGTTTGCATTTACTGGGGTGAAAATGAATTAGCCATCTTCATTTCATTTACGTCTTTTTGTAGTTTAATATAATAACCCAAATTCTTTATTTTACCTACTCCCCCCAAAAGTATCATATGCATATAGAAAAGCTCGCAATCATATCCTACAGGCCCTGGAAAATCATTTATCAAAATAACCAATAATATTGGTCCGAAGAGAGATCCTTGAGGTATCCTAATTTTTACTTGGTTCCATTTTTTTTTTTTAGGTTAAGGTGGGGAATGGATGGAAGGCGTGATGGGGCTCAAGGCACAGCCAGACATGAGGGATAGAGAAGTCGCAACATATAGTCGTGGGGGAAAAGGTTGGAAAAGAAGTTTAATGAGTTAAACAGAGGGGGACGACACCCCTTGTTTTACATATTACAGAGTTTGTTGGCTAACTAAGCTAGCCTAGGATTTAGGATGAGGTTGCACAATGTTTACTTTAGTAGACAATGACTCAATTGATTTTACAATTACAAGCTTATTAAAATCTTTTACTGTATTACGTTATGGACTCACTAGATTGTGACTCGATAAATGTGAACTTATATCATCTAAGTTTTAATCTAAGGTGGATCACTGTGGCGTACATAGATGGGTCGCGGGTTGGGTTGTTGTAGTGCGGGCAGATTCCGGGGCCACTAGGCGTGGGGTCACCCTCCGTTGATGTCTTCCCCGCATAGGTGGTCTGGGCTGTGAGGGTCGTCCAGGAGCTTGTCCCAAACCTTCTTCCCTAGGCGATAGAACCTGACGTTGAGGGCCTCTGTTTTATTTCTTAGGTGAATGGTTTCCACTGTCTCCTGGTAGGGTGGTGCTTGGCCACTGGTTGACCTCAAACACTTGTTTTGGAAGCTCTGTACTTGTTGTAGTCTAGTCTTCCCGAGTGTGACGAGTGGTATATGTGGGTACTCCAACACAGGCCTCACCAGCGCCTTGTACAGGTGAACTTGTATCTTCTCAGGCATCAGATAAAAACGTTTTAATTTGGCTGCGGCGACTTTGGCTTTATTTAGTTTGTCCTTCACGTGGGAAGTAATGCCCGTCCGAGAGATGATGAGGCCGAGCAACCTGCCCTGTTTAGAGTACTCAATCTCTTCGTCGTCGATCATCAATGGCGCTGGCTTGAATTTGGCTATGGGTGTGACATCGAATTTTGTTTTGTTTGTTTTTATTTTCCATTTATTTTCATACTCCGGAGTATGAAAATAAATACTTCGGTACACATGCACCCAATACACTCTGGTACACATGCACCCAAGAGCACTTCGGTACACATACACCCAAGTGCACTTCGGTAGACATACACCCAAGAGCAGTATGGTACACTTGCACCCAAGAGCACTTCGGTACACATTCACCCAAGAGCACTTCGGTACACATGCACCAAGAGCGCTTCTGTACACATGCACCCAAGAGCGCTTCGGTACACATGCACCCAAGAGCACTTCGGTACGCGTGCACCCAAGAGCACTTCGGTACACGTGCACCCAAGAGCACTTCGGTACACATGCACCAAGAGCTTCGGTACACATGCACCAAAGAGCACTTCGGTACACTGCACCCAAGAGCACTTCGGTACACGTGCACCCAAGAGCACTTCGGTACACATGCAAACACTTCGGTAGCCCAAGACCGCTTCGGTACATGCACAAAGCATTTCGGTGCACCCACTTTCGGCACATGCGCAAGCACTTCGGTACACATGTGCACATGCGCAAGAGCTCTTCGGTACTTCCACATGCACCAAGAGCACTTCGGTACACGTGCACCCAAGAGCACTTTAGTACACGTGCACCCAAGAGCACTTAGGTACACGTGCACCCAAGAGCACTTCGGTACACATGCACCCAAGAGCACTTCGGTACACATGCACCCAAGAGCACTTCCGTACACGTGTACCCAAGAGCACTTCGGTACACATGCACCCAAGAGCACTTCGGTACACATGCACCCAAGAGCATTTCGGTACACTTCCATTTACATTCAAACATGTAAATGGAAGTGTTTATTGTATTCCATGTAGCAAATGTAATTGTAATTATGTAGGTCAGACAGGAAAAACACTGCAGCTTAGAATCAAACAACATAAGTATAATATCAGAACTGCATCTGAAAGCAGTGCCTTGTTTGTTCATGTTAGGAATAATAATCACCCCATTGCTTGGGAAAAAAGCTTAGAAGTATTCAAATCATCTTGTGTCACAGAAAGACTTCTGGTTGAAGCTAGTTTGATTAAGGAACTAAAATCAATAAACCTTAGTGATGGTCAGTTCAAAACTGATTATATGTTACATAAATTTATTTGTCAGTGGCCCAAGGTTAAAAATGCTTTGAAAACCTTTGATCTAGATGTATGATAGTTATTCTGTGGGTCCCTTTTTTTCTGACCTGACTTGGCTAGTCACGTCACCTCCCTTCTCTTAAGCTCCTCTACGTGTGTGTTGGTGTGGGGATTAGTGGATGTCATCATTTTGACCTGACCTCATGTTTTTAGGTCACCCTGTATATTTAAGCCTCTCTCTGTCCATGTAATCCAGTTGCCTCTGAAGATGTCTTGAATAAAGACGAAAGCTAAGGTACTCCGTTGTTTCCATCTTCCCGTGTGATTTTATCAAGATTTATCTTATCCACGTTGTCATTGTGGATTTACATGAAATGTCGAGTAATCAGTGTTGAGTGAGTTTTGTTTCGGCAGGTTTTTTGACTGATTAGTTGTTTGATTTTTTTTTTACTTAAAGTAGATATCAAGTCTTTTATAAATCCGCTGGGATGTGGGAGATGCTTGCTTTTATTACATAATGTAAGTTGGAGGATTGATTGATCCTGGCGACGTGTGTGTGTGTGTGTGTGTGTGTGTGTGTGTGTGTGATGATAGCGGGATGGAAAGTTCAAATGACAAATTATGTTCATCCGTTCATGATGTGTTTGTGGCTAGTGTGGGTGTACACAAGGTTAGGTGACACTATGGTGGTGTAACGTACGACACTGTGCAGTCAATATACAAAGTGTAAAACGGCAATAACACTTACTAGGCAAGGTTGACGTAGAAGGAGAGCATAAGCACATACAAAGCTTCGATTAAGAGGAGCAGTTTGAAAAAGCAACCCACGTAACGGTTCCATGTTTCCTTCATCAGTCGCTGACACAGATCATGTTTTAAGAGCTCTAATCGTTGGCACCTGAGGACAACACACCCCACATATATTTCTTAAAGTAACATAATAACATGTATCTGCTAAATCAAACAATGAAAGTTAAAAGGTTGTCTTCGGTACTTTTTTGGGGGGCTCTGTCTAAAAGAGTATAATTTTGACAAAAAAAAAATAACAGCGACCAAACATTACTGTACAGCACTAAGCCCGACAATAGCAAAAAAAATATCCTTTGTAATTCTCAACAACACCAATAGTACTTAACTAGCATTGTGAAGCTAAGGTAAATCTATGTGTATGGGAATAAAACAATGAATTTCAACTTGACAATAATAAAATAAGAACAAAATAAAGTATTAACCTTAACCATACATACAGTCATCCACGACCACATGCGATATTAATTCACTACCTATGACGTTCCACGAATTTGGGGCAATGAAATTATTATTATTATTATTATTATTATTATTAGTAGTAGTAGTAGTAGTATTAGTATTATTAGTAGTATTAGTATTAGTAATAGTATTAGTATAAGTATTAGTATTAGTATAAGTATTAGTATTAGTAGTATTAGTATTATTAGTATTAGTATTAGTATTAGTATAAGTATTAGTATTAGTATTAGTATATCTTCGCCCCCAGACCCTGATTTAGGTCATTGATCCGTGCCCGGGTGGGCTAATCCCCTTAAAAAAAATAAGCATCGAATTAAATGATAAAACGCAGTAAAAACATTATAACGCGGTGGAGCTGATAAATTGTGTAGACATATTTTTTTCTTTTATGGGGATTAGCCCACCCGGGCACAGGTCACTGACCCACATCGGGGCCTGGGGGACGAAAATTTAATAATAATAGTAATTCATAGTAAATAAAATTTACAATAAAAATAAAAATAAAATAATAAATAATAATAATAATAATAATAACACTGTAATAATGATAATAAAGAAAAGAAAAACAATAATCAATAGTGAGAAATGCTATATGTATAGTATGTTGTGTTGTCAATTGTAAGAGAAACAATTGAGACCCTGCAATTGTGTGTAAATGAGGCAGAAAGACAGATCAGCAACCTGGGACTTGGTCACAATATTCGTGATGCCATATGGCAGCAGGGTCTACCATTAGACAACACATAATGCTTCCAATATCTTCCCAGGCGGTAGTACCTCCCTGTTTGATAGCTGCCTGCTACCTACTGGATGCTACCTACCTGGATGCAATATGTTCTAACTTCTATACCCAACTCCCTTAAGAGAGGCTACAGAACCCGGGCGTAGGCTTGATTAAAAAAAAGAAAAAAAAAGAAAAAAAAGGCAAAGATAATATTTCCTCCCCTCCTTCCCCCCTCTCCTTTCCTCTCCTCCTCCCCCCCTCCTCCTCCCCCCCTCCTCCTTTCCCCCTCACCTCCTTCCTCCCTCCCTCTGAAGTCTGGCCAGTATTAACATGCCGAAATATATTCAAGAGGACGCTCTCACATTACTACTAGTCACAACATCCTCGACCATGACGTTAAGTGGGCGACTTCTCCTCCACTCTTGCACATCTGATATTTTCTCGACCGCATCTTGCTTCAGTGTTCCATCTTCAGAGTATGGAATCCGAGCGGAAAGGTTACCTCTTGAGCTGTTCCCTATAAAAACAAGAAGACGTGGATGATACAACAGACGCTGGCAGAGTTTTCACAAACCAAATTGTTTCTATCAACAAGAAAGTTGAAGGAAATTTTATTACTCCATTATATAGCAATTCCTCGTCCTAATGACCTTCTACATTTTGTTCTCTACTCTAGTGGCATCAGTACCGAGGACTTGGAAGCCTAACAAAATACTACGTTGCACTGTATTATGAATCTCAATTGTCTTGAAATTATCTCTCTACACACCTGGTTCCTTATTCCCATTATGGCCCTGAAGTGTTCTGCTACAAGCTCTGTCTCCTGGAAATTCAGGCAACAACACCGAGAAATATAATGCCGACATTAAAGATGCAATTGATTATTACGTCCACACAATCAAAAAAGTATCTTTACGATTTTGTGTTAAACAATATGACAACCCTACCGAGACAAGAGGAGTCTTCTCTCTCTCTTATATATATATATATATATATATATATATATATATATATATATATATATATATATATATATATATATATATATATATATATATATATATATATATATATATATATGTATGTATGTATGTATGTAAAGAGTCTAACACTTACGGTCTTGGACAGAGTAGTAGGTGTCATCAAGGATGTAGAAGTTGAACCTCACACTATCCGCACTCCTCGTTATACACTTGTCCAGAACATGCTATAATCAAGGAAAATAATTTCTTTTAGTATTTTTTTCTAGTTGGATTGAAATTCTGAATGATACATTTAAGGGCAGAAAGACCCAGGTAGTAATATCCTGTCAAGGTTTAGGTTCATTTATGCTCCGTATGTTTATATATCATATTTATCATGTAAAACTATTCTCAATACAACTGAACACTAGTTGACAAGGGTTCGGTAACATGGATCAAATACGCTGCACTTCATTGATTTTGGGGTTGATTTCAAATATGGCAAAAAAAAATTTCAGTCACTTAAAATTTTTATGATGTATATGTAGTGTAGGAATATAAGATACGTACTTGTGTTGGTAGGGATATATTAAATGCAAGGTTAGCAATACTGAATAGGAGAATGGAGAGAATACAACGCCAAGGCTGTGTTAATTTACCAAATTGAGTATCCAAATGTACCTTCGACC